GTGTTAGACGAGGTCGCACTCCCCCTGAAGACGCAGGTTCGCAGTTTGGGTGTGATCCTGGACTCATCGCTGAGCCTGGAACCCCAGGTTTCGGCGGTGACCAGGGGAGCATTCGCACAGTTAAAACTTGTGCGCCAACTGCGACCGTACCTTGGGAAGTCCGACTTAGCCACGGTAGTCCACGCTCTGGTTACATCCCGCCTTGATTACTGCAACGCTCTCTACGTGGGGTTGCCTTTGAAGACAGTCCGGAAGCTCCAATTAGTCCAACGGGCGGCAGCCATGATACTAACAGGAGCGGGGCACAGGGAGCACACAACTCCTCTGCTGCACCAGCTCCACTGGCTGCCGATATGCTACCGGGCTCAATTCAAAGTGCTGGCGTTGGCCTTTAAAGCCCTAAACGGTTCTGGCCCAACTTATCTATCCGAACGTATCTCAGCCTATCAGCCCACCAGGACCCTAAGATCTTCTGGAGAGTCCCTTCTCTCGATCCCTCCAGCTTCAGAAGTGCGGCTGGCGGGAACGAGAGAGAGGGCCTTCTCTGTGGTAGCCCCCCGGCTTTGGAACACCCTCCCTACAGAGGTACGATCAGCTTCTTCGCTGATGGTGTTTAGGAAGAGACTCAAAACATGGCTATTCAAACAGGCATTCGGCTAATTTTTGTGACAATCGAATCCAGGTGACTAAGGACAGGAAACATGGACAACGAATTCTGATTGTGGTTTTAACTTGAGATATATGGGACGATTATTGGTGGCCCAATAATTTTTAAATTGTTATTGTATATATATTGTTTTTAATTTGTTGTACACCGCATTGAGTCGCCGTTCCAGGCTGAGATATTGCGGTATATAAGAGTATCAAATAAATAAATAAATAAAAGCTTTGCTTTTTTCTCGATTATGGTTGTACCATCAGGGTTAAAACATGTTTATTCATCTCTTCCTTGTCTATTTTGAAGTTGTTTGATTTTCCTATTAGCTTTCAACATGATTTTAAATAGGATAAAGCAAGCCCCCTCTGTACAAATCTTGCCAAGAAAACTCCGTAATTAGGAATGCCATAAGTTGGAAACAACTTGAAAGCACACAACAACAACAACAACAAACTTTGTGGTGTTTTTATTTTAAGCTTATTTTCTAATTCTGTCCTTAGCAACTTTTCTCCCTTCTCTTTCCACTTAATTTTTCAAAGAGCTACTGTCCTGTTTTACGGGATGTTGTGAGTCATTTCCTTTTATGTTTGCATCAAACACTTGTGTACCTGAAAAAAATCACAGCCATTGTACAAACAATACATTAAGTGAGGAACTGTTGTTTGTAATGTGAGGCTATGAGCAGTTAGCAAAAAAATTTTATATATATTTTGTAGGTTATCTCATTATGTACACACAGAACGGTTGTCATGAAACCATCCCAATGCAGGAATTTAAATAAGAATCCAAGAAAGCAGGTCAGTGGTCAGAGTTAAAGGGAGAGAGAACATCTGTTTGGGGTTGTGTATAACAAAGGATAGGAAACATCGCTTTTCTGGAAAGTGCAGAGACTGACGGCATGGCAGAAGGTTAGCAGCCTGCATTCAGTGGGGATTCTCTTTGTTTGTGAAGACCTCCTGTTCAGAAGACTTATGGATAGTTTTAAAAGTGAGAGGATAATTTGACTTTCCTGACAGAACAAAGGTGTTTGAAGATGGGCAGATGGGTTCCAGTGTCAAACTCGACTAATTATAATGTGTGGCTGATTATATTGTATGTGGGATGTGCATTTCATAATAAGGAAAAGGAGAGGTGTCATCCTGGATGCAGTTGACTTGTCAGAGCGCTACACTGTGTTTGAGACTCCTGAAATTGGAGAAGGAGTATTGTGATTCTTCCATGAATGACATTGGTAACTCTTCCATAAAACCAACATAGAAATATGGTGGCTTGTTAACACATAATTGGAAAGCCTATGTCTCGGAACAAGGCACAGTTAAAATTAATTTATGTTTATTTATTTTTATGTTTATTTATATCCTGTCTTTTTCTTAGAATGTGGATCTAAGATTATAATGTATGCAATTTCTCAAGTCACTCCTGATGTGGAAAAAAAAATGCCTATCTCCATCAATGAGCTTGAGTTTAAGGTAAAGGTCAAGGTTGTCCCCTGACATTAAGTCCAGCCATGTCCGACTCTGGGGGTTGGTGTTCATCTCCATTTCTAAGCTGAAGAGCCGGTGTTGTCCGTAGACACCTCCAAGGTCATGTGGCCAGCATGACTGCATGGAGCGCTGTTACCTTCCCACTGGAGCGGTACCAATTGATCTACTCATATTTGCATGTTTTCGAACTGCTAGGTTGGCAGAAGCTGGGGCTAACAACACGCCCCTTGGGTTTAGGGCAGGAGAATTTTTAATAATTTAATTAGTCTAGATAGGATTATCCCTCTCCCCACAAAGTTCCGAACTTTCTCTGTGGAAGACATAATACGAGCTAAATTTCAAAACTGTAAGGGCATTGATGGTCACTGATGATTTGATCATTCATTTAATAACATATGATGTCCACCAAAGCTTGATGGAGCTTCCCAAGAAGAATGAGAAATCAACTCCCTTCTACAATGCTAGACAGCATAATTGAGTCTTATAGACACCAGAAAAGACAGAGTGAAGAGTAGTCTAAGAACTTGTCTACATCGGCCTTCTCCCTGGTCATGTGGGCACCTCTGCTGGCATTAGCCACGGGTGCCCATGACGTCCAGAAGCTCTCTCTGAGTTCCTCAGTCATGACAGTGTCACTGTCCCAGTCCATCTTTTTTCCCCAGCACATGAACTCAGGAAAAAGGAAATTGTGGACAGCATTGGAGCCAGTCTGCTATCCACACTGTGCCCAAAGTGTAAAGTTTTCCTGGACTTTTGGTAAAACTCTGGAGAATTCCCTGACTTTACTAGTTAAGGGCTAAACTGGTTCATCCCGATTTACCTAGTGCTAAGGACTAGAAGTCTCTGGTTATTGTGTGTACTTCTAGGAGTAACTCCTGGCCACTTTGTATTTTTGGGCTCATGTAAAAAAGCCCTTACACTGAGCTATGAGATTTATATGATGATAGTATGAGATAGTATGATGATAGTATGAGAAAGCTGCGGAGGGGCAGAAAAAGAGTTAGGACCTGAGGTCATGATCAGTTTTGCAACTGGTATGTTTCTGTACCCACCAGTCATCTCTGACTTAAAGAAGGAAATGGAGGGAGACCTGTAGCCTCAGAAGTTTAAACCCTTCTGGGTTTAAAAGCTTAGGAGTTTGGCTTACGTATACTCGAAGCAATTAAGAGAATGTTTTTGCAGGCTACCAAAAGTATCATGTTGCTCCTGCAGGCTCTCTCTTCCTCCCTCATCCCCAGCTTTACAGGGCATGTGTTCGACAGAATTTTCCTGGATGTTTGGAAAGGTTTAGGAAAAATGTTTAGGAAATACATGGATGTGTTTGGATTGCTTCCCAGTTTGCTATAGGACCAGAGGTTTATGCTGAAGATGAATGGCTGGGAAAGAGTAGGCTGGGAAAGTGAACACTCTCGAGAGATGGGTGAGGAATACCGTGTCTGAACTTGTTTGCCTTGTACATTAAGGAAACCACTGAGCTTGAAGCTGAAATGTTTGGGATGATGAAACCTCTTCAGGTTTGTCTGGTAGAAGATTGCAGGTTTTGCAAACTTTAGAAAAAATTGAGTGCCTAGGATCTTTAGATTCAACAAATTGAGATCACCCTCACTTACATCACATACTAGCTAGAAGTAACTATTCTGTTCATTTTGAGAATAGTTTTCCCCAGTCCCACAAAAAGAAGGGCATGGGAGATCTGCCTGGAAAATGTAACCCTTTTTAATCATGATTAAAAGAACCTGTTGCCTGCCAAGAACAAGTGGCTGTTAATTATAAGATAAGGTAGCTGGTGTTTGGTAAGAAGCCAAAGGATTACAAATGTACTGAGCATAATTTTAACACTGAGCATGTGAACACTTTCACATATTTAGGGGTATAGTCCATGAATTGGAAATTGTTCCAATCAGCCATATTACTACTAGTGTAGCAGTAGTCATCATTGTTATAGTCTAGGTTGTACAGAACTTCTCCTATGATAAAGAAGGAGACATACTAAATCAACAGATAACTTTATATGTAGTATTTTAAATAGTTTTGTGGACGAAACTAAGATTGTGCTCAATGAACAATTAGAAAACAAAGGTGCTGCTTTATCAGCCACCCATGTGAATAATTGTAGAGCATTTCAGATTTTGAATTTCTGGATAAAGGAAACTACCCATTGTGTGTTTATGACGTTGTGCTGTGAGAAGGCAATTGATCCTTATAAATCACTATCTTATCTACCCACATAGACAAATTAGATTTTGGAGTATTTTGGAATTTGGAATTCTGGATAAGGGATGTTCAACTTGTAATTATTTCTAGATAGAAGTATTTGAAAGAGCTTTTTAGAAATCTGGGAGTCTTGAGATACACACACACATCAGTACAGTTTATAGTTGCAGTTGGGAAAACCAGAAATGCATACTATAACATTGAAATATCTTGCCATGGAAACCATCTGCTTTCACACTACTTATTACTCACCTATACATTGGGACATCTTTTTATCTTGCCAAAGTCTGGTTGTCTATGCCCACTGCATCTTGCCCTGATATTTCTGAGAACTAAAAGAGGGAATTATATTTTTTGGATTATACATCATAGAAACCATAATCTAGGATGATTAATAGATGCTCAATGTTTATAAACCTTTAACAATGACAAAATTTTATTTATTTATGTATTGAATTGAATTTATAAACTACAATTCTCCCCTAATGAGATAATGCATGTTTTTAAATAAGAAGAATGATTGAAATGGCTGTACATGAAATCTGAGTTTGAGATTTTGAATGCCTTGCCATTTTTTGATCTCCTCAAATTTAAGGTAAGCCTAATATTCGTTTTCTTTTTCTTCCTCTCCTCCTTTCTTTTAGAAGTCAAGAAGCCACCGGTGGCCCCCAAACCAAAATTTGTGATAGGACACAAAGTAGGCCCACCTCCTGTGGCACCCAAGCCAGATGTTGTCCTTGCAGATGTTTTACAAGCCACAAAGAAAACAAAGCCAGCAATTGCACCCAAACCAAAAGTTTTGAAATGCTCATCTGCTCCTGAGACTAAAGCTGCACCCTCATCTTTAAGAAACAATTCAAAAAGTTTAGAAGAACACAAAAGAGACTCTTCTGAATACTTGGTTCATTTGAATTACAAAAACGGAGCCCCAAGAGACAACACTGCTTATATTATATCCGTGTGTTCGTGCAATTTTGAATGCATCCATAAATTGGGGAATGGAGGAACTATATGCAAAAATCCATCCATTTTTGAACAGTTGGAAAACTTAGAGAATATTGATATAGGAGAACCACTATCATCTTTGAAACCTAGGATAATACTTGATAGTCATAATGAAAAGAATATAAATAAAAATAGGGTTGTCTTGAAGGCTAATCTACTGGAGGAGAAACTCAAAGACGTGTTAACACAAAGTGTTTTTCCTAATTGCAGCCATTTGAGGCAAAAGCCATTGAGTAAACTTGAAAAGGGCAATGTTAATTCTCATAACAGTGATGTTAAAATAGAATTTACAGACCTTGTCCCACCATCTGAAGATGTTGCAGTCAACACAAATAATATAAATTTAGATGGTGTTGAACCTGAAATGTGTCAAGTGCTGCCTTTGGGGGAAAACATGAATGGATGCTTCTCCTTGCCTGATCCTTCAACTTCAAACACTAGTGATTTGCAGACAAGCAATGACATTTTAGCTTCATTTGGAACAAGTCCTGCTCCATCTGTGAAATCTCTCCCAGTTCCAAAACCCAGAAAGCTACGTACTCCATGTCTGGTCCGCCAAGATGGCATGGATATCCCAGGAGAGAAAATAAAAGAAACCATTGTTTTGGAAAATGGTTCTTCTGAACTTTCCAGGTGTGCTGTTAAGAAGACCCCAAAAGTAAGTGTTCTTGCTCAAAGTGTTTCTTATAACAACCAAGAGCCTATGTTTTTGGGCAATAAATCTGAAATTGCTCTAGGCCTTGCTGGAAAAATGCTTCCAACAAGTAAACCTGGTGATTCCAAAGAGCTAAACCCAGAAAAACTCTCGCCTAAGATTCTACATAAAACTTCTTACCTGGTAGAAAATATTGAGCATTCTTTGGATCCTTACTCAACAAATCCTTCTGAAAATATAATGAATGGAGATAATAGCATGTTGGCTGCTCATGACAAAAATACTGACTTTGTGAGGTGTAGTAATCTTTCTATGAGCTTGCCTAAACAACTCAAATTATCATTCAGTCAGCATTTGCCTGCCTTTGAGAGCCTTGATGGTTCTGCACAAAAGAAGGAAGATAAAGACGCTCACGTAAAAGGTGAAAGTTCACCCAAAACTGTTCCTAAAAAACCTCAAAGGCATAGCATCCCTGCAGCTGGACTGCTGAAAAAAGCTGCTTCTGAGGAACTGCTGGAGAGAAGTACTTATGGGGAAGGACATTCAGAGACTCCGCCGGAAGGATCTCGTATCAGGCATTTGTCAGCCAAAGAACAACGTTCACTGCTATCCTGTGATGCACCAAAACCAGCTTTGGAAAAACCTGTTTGGAAATTACCTCACCCTATTCTTCCGTTTCCAATCAATCCAGAAGCCTTAAAAAACACTAAGAATGCAAAAAACTCTGAGCATACAAGTGCTGTGACAAAGCCTCGGGCCAAATCCCTGTCATCTGTAGATATGGACAGAATACATAAACCCCCCAAAGATCCTCAAAAGAAAAACACACTGAAAAAATTCCTAAACATGAAGCTTTCTATATCTATAATGAAAACTGACTTCCATAAATTTCTGACTAAGAGTAGCCAACCTGTAGATAATTCCACTGTTGCTTTCTCTAGCCAGGAAGAACCTGGAAAAAACCAGAATGTGACTAGAATGACAAACGGAAGGAAAATGAAATCTCCCAAAGTACATTCTGCAGAAATGGGTAGCCTAGCTTCAGAAAAGGGAAAACAAAAGCCCAGTGGTCAGAATGACACCACAAGCTGTCAACGCTCAAAGTCATTCGATGAACAGGTCATTGCATCCCAAGGACATTTGAATTCTCTTGCAAATGACTACATACCAGAATATGAAAATATGAGCCATTACGAAGAAATCCCAGAATATGAAAACTTGCCTTTTGTAGCCATTGATAAGAATCCATGTTTTAAATGGCAGCGTTCTAACACTGCTGAAGACCAGGATGCTGATTTATATGAAGCGCAGGACCTGTATGAACCCACAAGGAACTGCTCAGAGTTCAGGAGGTAAGATTCTAAGAAGCCGGGGAACATGAAACAATAAGTGTGGGATATTGCTGCCAATTTACACCTTAGGCTTATCTATGGTCTTGCTATGATCTTCATTTAAAAACTTTGGACTGAATCTATGACATCGTCCTTGTTCCTTTACTGGATCGGTGTGCATCTTGGTCCGAGATACATACCACAGATATTCAAGTATAAGCTGACCCAAATATAAGCTGAGGCACTTAATGTTATCACAAAAAACTTACTGTCTCGAGAATAAGCCGAGGGTGGGAAATGCAGCAGCTACTGGTAAATTTCAAAATAAAAATAGATATTAATAAAATTACATTCATTGGGGCATCAGTAGGTTAAATGTTTTTGAATATTTAAATCAAACTAATTTAAGATAAGACTGTCCAATTCTGATTAAATCGTTATTCTAACTTTTTAAAATGTAAATGTGCTTATGTATCCTAATAATCACCATAGTTTATTTTAACTATACATTTTGGGGGAAATGCTGTGTATATATGAATAAGGAAAAGTGGGAAAGACTGCACCAAGAGAGGAAGGCATGTGCTGTGCCGAAAGAACAGGAGAGGAAGGTGCGCACTGCACAAGAGAAGAGAGGAAGGACAGCTGGGTTGCTCTGTGGAGAGGTGAGGGTCCTGGCAAGAAGACATGGGGCTGAAATAAGCCCTTCTTTCAGCCCCACGCCTTCCCTCACCTGAGTATAAGCCGAGGGGGGCTTTTTCAGCCTAAAAAAAGGGCTGAAAAACTTGGATTATACTCGAGTATGTACAGTACTTATAGTAGAAGTACCATAAAAGAATAAAAAATTAGAACTGAATTTTACCAAATGAATGATTTTACCAAATGAATAATTTTGATGTTCTTTTACTTTTAAAGTGCCACGTGCAGTGATATTACATGACGTTATCAATAACAATATTAATGGGGAAGGACCTCACGCTACACTTTTATGGACTATAATATATGAATGATATCTATCAATGTTGTTGACTATATAAACTTAGGAAGACAATTAATACACCCAATTACTTTGAGTCTTTGTAGTAAATCTATTGACTTATGTATTGTTCACATATCAATGTTTTCCTGAAGCAGTTAATGCACTCAGTTCCTTGCTGTTGAACTGGTACAAATTGGAATATTTCTGGATGAGCAATACACCAAATGGTAAAATGATCCTTGTACTGTACCATTTCAGTGTTGGGTCAGGGCTGGATGATTGAGTTATGTGCTGTGCTAAAACTAAAACTCAGATTTCCTGTGAACACAAAGTCACCTAGCCTATTCTCAGGTATGCTAGTTTTCTCTGCATTAAGAAGAGTCATACAATCCCTTCCTTGCAGACTTACACGATACAAACCACAAAGAGCCTTTGTGTCATGGTGATAAATTTGTCTGAAGGAAATCTCTACAAAATTCAGGGCAAAGGTCAAGATGTTTCAACTAGATAGAATCCTTCATCACTGAGTAACTCAATAGTTCTGAAGATTAAGTTCTCGGGGGGGGGGGGGGGGGGGGGGGGGGGGGGGGACCAGGATATGAGTTGACATATTCTTCACTAAGAAGATGGATGTGTTCAAGGCAAGAATGGTGCAGCATCTCTATCACATTGAAATGCCCTAATATGACCAAGAGAGCCAGTGTGATGTAGTAATTTGAGCATTAGGCTATGACTCTGTAGAGGTAGTGGTAGAGGTAGCGGATTCTCCTGACATTAAATCTTGTCGTGTCCGACCCTGGGGGTGGTGCTCATCCCAATTTCTAAGCCTAAGAGCCGGTGTTGTCTGTAGACACCCCCAAGGTCATGTGACTATATGGTGCGGCATTACCTTCCCATAGAAGTGGTACCTATTGATCTTCTCACATTTGCATGCTTTCCTACTGGTAGGTTGGCAGTAGGTAGCTGGGGATGAGAGCTCACCTCACTCCCCGGATTCAAACTGCCAACCTTTCAGTCAGCAAGTTCAGCAGCTCAGTGGCTTAACCCACTGCACCACCACGTGGAGACTCTGGAGACCAGGGTTCACATTCTCACTTAGCCATGGAAACCCCTTTGGTGATCTTAAGCAAGTCATGCTATGTTGACTGCAGAGAAAGGCAAAGGCAAACTCCCTCTGATCAAATCTTGCCACAAAAAAATCAATGATAGATTTGCCTTAGGGTTGCCATAAGTGGGAAATAACTCGAAGACAACCACAATGTTAGCAAGAGTTGACAAAAACCCTGTTAGGACTCGTTTCCCTTGTTGCTGTTGCCTCTTTCACTGACTAAATACAGCAACATGAGAATGACTTGGGCAAGTTTGCACATGAGTTATTCCCAGATTCACCTCCACATATGTATAATTCTAGACAGCTGGGTTTTATGTTTATCTAATAGAAGGTTAGCCAAGTGTTGGAGTGAAGATAGCAAACATGTAATTTCCACTCCTTCCTTTCATTACATTTTTAGTATGACATCTTGTGTTACTGGAATAAAATCTAGGATTCTTTGTAGTATTTGCATATTATATTTATGACTGTCCCAGCATCCATAACTTGATCAGAAAACAGTCATATGAAATATAGATCCTTTAATTTTTGTTGGGAAGGGTTGTCATACATTGTACAAACAATTGAGGGACTGATAGGCTTTTGCTAGATCCAAAACCACAAATGTTTACAAACCCTAAACTAAATGCAACATTGCTAACAACCTCAGTAAAACTTCTTCCCCCTGTTCCCTTCAGCCAGATGCTCTGCTTGAAAACAATTTTTTTCCTTTCCAGACATGGGATGCCACTGTTAAATGCTGCTCTTTCTTAATACAGTAGAGTCTCACTTATCCAACCTTCGCATATCCAACGTTCTGTATTATCCAACACAGTCTGTCTCCTGCCTGAATCCACAGCTGTTGCAATACACTGTGATGTTTTGGTGCTGAATTTGTAAATACAGTAATTGCTACATAATGTTACCATGTATTGAACTATTTTTTCTGTTGATTTGTTGTAAAACATGTTTTGGTGCTTAATTTGTAAAATCATGACGTAATTTGACGTTTAATAGGCTTTTCCTTAACCCTTATTATTCAACAGTTTTGCTTATCCAGCGTTCTGCCAGCCCGTTTATGTTGGTTAAGCGACACTCTACTGTACATTAAATTACAATTGCCTTTTCTGGATAAATAGTTTCATGCTAGTTGTGCTTGGTGTGCTAATAAAAGAAAACATCAGGAATGCCTGTTTCCCATGCTTGTTTCTAGCTGCTATATTAAACTTTGCAAGCCAGAGAATGTCTAAACAAGCCAGCCTAATATGTGCCTCTGTGAATTGGATTTCCTACAGTGTAGCTTTGGTCAAGAAACTGCTGCTTCATACTCTGTAATTCAGGGATTAGTAACTGCTTGGGGCATGAGCAAGAGAAAATTGGCTGTTTTATAAAATCAGTTTGGTGATTTTTGGAGACATCTGTGGCTAAAAATAGTAGTCCCAGTAGTGCTACTTTGCCCACCTCTTCTGCAACTGGGCATATCTTTCATATTGATTTATAGTATGGGTGTCTCATACTTTGTTTGCCTTTCTTTGTTTATTTTATCTTTCTTGCTATTAAAAAAAGATAGCATTGTGGAGAAGGGATAAGAACAATGTACTTTTTGCCAGGAAGGGAAATCACTAGCTTGTGGGTCGATAAGTTACTAGGTTAGCAAAACTATTTGGAGACCGGGGACATATATTTCCAGCTGTGGTCCACACCTTCCCAGGCAAGCTCAAATGCCTTCATTTTCCTTTGCAGTTCCTTTCAAAATGTTATGCCACTTTCTGTCTTTATTTTGAGAGGAGCTGCAGAAGAAGATGCCAGTATTTGGGTGGGATAGTACAGAGAATAGAGCAAAGTATATTGGCATTTTCACATATTTGTGTCTTATTTCTGTATGGTTCAGGGGCAACAAATGTTTGAAAATTTTTCTGATTTGAGGAAGGTTGCGGAGCTTTGGAGGATTAAAAAAATGTGTTTCTCTCCATGATGCCCAAAAACCATATCTTCATACCAGGTAACTATTTAAAGTTGCCTTGATTCCCAGTCAGGGAGCAGACAGGATATAAATAAAATGATAGATGGATTTAAATTGGCTGTACCACCCTAAACATTCCACTTTTATTTCTTGAACTATGCACACCATATAGAAACAACAGTGAACCTTTGTTATTACATACTAAGTATGTAATAACATACTTATTAAACTGTCCTCATAATTTTAGGATGTCTTCATTTGTACTAAGGGAATGTATTTTAGTAAGATATGTGACCATGTAGGCTTTTGATGCTTAGATTTCTCTTAAGATATATATATATATATATATATATATAGAGAGAGAGAGAGAGAGAGAGAGAGAGAGAGAGAGAGAGAGAGAGAGAGAGTTGGTTCTTGGTGCTGACAGTAAAATATAATCCTAGTGGATAAGCATAGACAAAAGTCCAGCTCAAATGTTCACATTTTTCTTTTTATAATAATACACAAGGAAGGAGGACGTGCACAAGCATGTTGGTCTACCTCTGTCTCCTGTTTGTGTTGCCCTTGTTATGTTGAGGCTAGACGGCTGAAATGAAAAAGTATTCTTCTCATATAGGCTGTCAGCGTAACTTTGCATGTTGCTATAAAATGGAATTTGAGCACCTGAACAAAGCTTAAGTGTCCTCAGGCAATGTAGTACTTGCGTTTACTCACACAACTTCTGATTGTATGCTGCATGATGCCTGGGCAAAAGTATACCAGGCTTTGCATATATTTAGGGAGCTTACATGTGTGTGTGTGTGTAAATATATATGTTTGTGTTCTTTAAGACATTTTGTTTCAGAGAGCTTTGTCACAAATAACTTTTGGTTAATGTATTGTTGAAGGCGTTCATGGCTGGAATCATTGGGTTGTAAGTTTTGAAGGCTGTCTGGCTATGTTCCAGAAGCATTCTCTCCTGATGTTTTGCCTGCATTTATGGCAGGCATTCT